TTATTTTTAATTTTAATCGAGATTTGAATTGTTCGATCAAAAATTCGGACAATTACCTTCCAGTATCTTTGACAACCCCGTTGACGCCGTAGGGACGTGGAAGAGGAATATATCTATCCGTCAGCTGGTCATCATAGTAATCGCTTGCTCGACGATACTAACCACCACTAATTCACTGTCACAAAACGTATCACGGTAACGCCGAAATATGACATCGTTGACGATACTTGAGCCCAAATTCCACGTTTTGGTGAAAAAAAAAAATACGGAGTCGTATACGACCACTGTCGCGAGTCGTGGAGAGAATTTAAAAATGAGAAAAAAATTAATGTAAATTAACGAATATCCCCACGAACGGAACACGCGCGAATGAAAACAAAAATTATACTATAATTCTACGCAGCTACGTATAGCGCTTACAAGCGCTCGACGGTCGCTACACTAACTGCCGCTTCTTCGCTTGAATTTCGACTACCCCAACCGCCGCCACCGTCACAGCCAATCACCATCGACTTGCGCACCAACTGTTAAATCCCCACCAATCAACGCGCGAACTTGTCCCGACGGAATCAAGCGTGAAATTTTCGACCAATATTATCAAAATACGGAAACTTAATCCATCATTTGATTCCGCGAAGTTAACGCTGAACCGTGAATCTTCGTAAAATCAAATAAATATCGATTATTCGATAGATTTCTAACTTTTATGAAAAGTAGTATACAAGCACAAGATTTATTAATATTCGAATATGATAAGAATATTCTTTTGAGATATTAAAAAAATTTGTACGTGAATCAAGTAAATTTTATCGAGAATTGGACATCTATTTTATTGAAATTCGAAAAATATGTTTCAAATATTACTCGAATAAATTATTGTATAAATGAAGATAACATAATCATGATATAAGTAATTTAAACTATTAATAATTTATTAAATTATTCGTGTCCTTTCATTTTCATAACATTCTGAAACGCGTATAATTATTATCATATGGAATATTAATCCATACTTGTCTAACTATTTTGATTTTTGCAACTAAATAATTAAAAAGACAATATCTTAAATCAAGTTTAAAACTCAAAAAAACACCGAATTATAAATTCTATTACCATTTGAATATCGTTTCCAACATTACCGATTTAGTAGAGAACAAATATAGACAAGAAACAGTATAGACGTGACATCTTATGGAATTTTGTATCACATGTTCTACACCGACCTTAAAAAAGATTAGAATGTTTTTTACGCCTTCTAGCATAATAATAATATAATAAGTATGTATATTAAACTAAGCTTTTCCAAGTAATTTTTCTCTCTAGTAACAAAATAAAGCTTTAAAAAAATAACTAAAAGTTTAAAAAATAAAAAAAAATAGAATAAAAAAATATTTTTTATTTAAAAAAAGAATTTTGTATAGAATCTTAATTTTATATATTTTGTATATTTCTCACATTAATAATTTTTAACAATAAAATATAAAAAATATAAAAACTAGATTGATTTAAATTTACATTTTTGTAACTAAAGCAAAATTCTTTTTTTTTTTATACCTACTTGTTTATCTAAAACAAATTTGTAACAAATATTTAAAAGTACAAAGAAATATGAAATATTTTTCAAAATTCCATAAAATGTATCTAATTTTTTAATTGAAGATAATATAATATATAATTCCTATCTTTAAATATTTTTTAATTTTTACCTAATAGAAATTTAAAGATATTATTTTATACACCTACACAAAAATTTAAAAATGTATATAAAATACTCTACGATAAATATAAAATATGAAAAAAAATATGATGCTAAATTTAGATTAAATAGTATGCATAATTTTTAGCCTGACATCTTGATTTTTTAAAAAAAATAATGAAACTATAGTATATATATGTAATATTGTTAATGATATTAAATTTTTCTAATAAAATATTTTTCTTAATGAAAAATGTTTTGAAAAATAGAATTTTTAAAAAAAATTTTAATTACCGAATCTATATCCTCAAGAAGACGATTATGCATATAATAAATATTTAAAATAAATTTAAAAAATAAAAAAACATAAAAATAAAATGTGAAATAAAATATGAAAAAAATTAACTATATCTTAAAAAATATATAAAAATAAAAAAATATTATAAATATATTATAAATACCTGAAATGATTTAGCAAATTAGATTCAGCATTAAAAAATTTGGGGAACCTGAAACAAAATCAATCACATGAAACATAATAAATTAAAAAATTTTAAATGTAATGTAATTTAATTTTGATATTTTGCAAATTTAAACATCTATATAACTATTTTAATTAAAAAATCAAAAATACTGTATATGTATATAAAGAACTTTAATTTTAACTTTGATAATAAACTTTCTTGCTCTTATTCATTCTACAGAAATGAACTGATTTTTCATATTATAATAAAAATATAATTGCTATTACACTAATTAATATTCTTACTATAATATTAATTTTAAATAATATTAAAAGAATTAAAAAGTACTTACATGAAACTTTTTAGCAATATTTTCATCGATAAATACTTCAATATTTAGAAATGCTGAAAAAAAAAAGATAGCAAAATAGCTATAAAGACCACCGTCTTGCAACTTTCATAGCTGCACTTGGTGATCCAAAAAAGGATTATTTCCACAATATTAGTGGAAGAATTTTGGGCATTTTATAAACGCAACGCTACTTTTAAAAACGCGATCAATTTTTAACGCAACACTACTTTCAAAAAACGCGATTACTTTTTAACGCAACACTAACTCTTAAAATGAATTTAATAAAAATACAAATAAATATAAAATTATATATCTTTATAATTAAAATTCGAATTAAACAAAATATTAAAATTTTTAACATTACTTTTTTTAAAAAATTATACTTTACCAGAATCAAAATTATGAAATATCTCAAAATGCAATACTAAAACAAACGCGATCATTATTTATTCGCAATTCTAATGCAAACCGTAATTTATATATCGCAATCAAAAATACTAATTAAAAAACCGTGATTGCCCATTTGCCCATGATGACTGTACGTTGGGCCAGAATGTATATCGGCCAATAAATATAACTACTACTACTACTACTACTACTACTACTACAAACTCTAAAACGAGCATAGTGACAAAGTAGTAACAATGACTTCCCATTCTTTGGAGTCATAAAAAGACCCAAAAAATGAGAAACCATTCGTTGCAGCCCTCTTCGTGACAGTTTGTCGGGCCTCTTCGGTCTTCCTCCTTCGGGCGCGATGCCCGCTGAAACTTATAACTAGGCTCGAGATTTCTTAATCGCACACAAAAAAAAAAATAAAAGACTAAATCGCGGAAGCTGAATGCACATGGACGATCAACGATCGCAATGACCATTGCTCGTACATGTGTAAAATCTCGAGCTCAACGTTCGTTTCGAAATTTATTTCGCGAGCGCGACCGCGGAATTCGAAAAATCGAAAGTAAAACCAGAAACAAGTGGACATTGACGACCACTCGTCTCAGCTCCACTCTCGATTTTTCAAATTATATTTCCTGAAACAGGTTGTCACGCGAAAACGCGCCTACCCGAGCAGAGACTGTGACAACCTGCCCGGCCCTACCTACTTATGATTAACATTCACACCAGAAAGTATGCTACCTATCCTACCTGACCCTATATTTAAAAAATGGCAAAACAGGCACACCAACACATTCATTCTACGGTTCTCACGCATAACACCCGGGCGCAAATGCCTAAACTAGGGAAAACGTCCCGGGACGCCTCCGACACCCGAGCTTGGCATACTACTTTCATACTCTAACTTTACGTACCATTTTCCTGAAATCAACTGACGATGGCTAGTGACCATTGCGTGAACCGCGATAAAATTTGATATATATTATGATTTTATATATTCGTAATGGTAAGAGTATTTCTTTTAAATAAATGATTTTATTCTTTTTATTATATTCGTATTATTATTTTATTATTCTAATAAATGATAATAAATATTGATATCAATATTATTATTTATTATAGATGTTAACGTTAATAATGCTATTATATTTATAATTTGCAGTACTTTAATATTAACGAATTTAATATTTTTTATTGTGATTGATACTTTAATAATTGTGAATTAAACGACGCAATTCCACAGCCTAACCATACACACATAATGTGGAAAATACATCGTGCACGATACATTAACAATCGTCAGTCGCTGAAAATTTTTTATTAAACTTATGAATTATGATCATCATGCCCATTGCCTCTCCCTCACCCAAGTAGCACCTAGGCACGTGAGTGAGATCCTGACAATGAACATGGAAAGGATTAAATCTGAAAATCCTGAACTAAAAAGATATTAATATTTTGTATTTAACGGGCTAATGAGTTCTCATTTTCTATATTATCATCTTATGTAAAATTTTAATGATTTATAATCTATATAATAAATCTATATAATAAAATATATAATCTTTTTATCAATGTAACAAATTATTAAGATTCTAATATTCTATAAAAAGATACTATTAATTAAGAAGAAATATATTTATTTAAAAAGATACAATGAAATGAAGTATTTTGATTCATAAATATTAATAAAAATATCCTCAGACGATTTCTTCATCAAAGCACATTTTTAAAAATATTAAAAAAAGTATTCAAAATTTATAGCTTTGATTTTAAAATCTGTCTGTCGCGAAGTGTCTTCTTGTACATAAAATTTATCATTTATTAAAATATTAAAAGTAATAATTGAAAATAATAAAAGTTTATTATCTTTACTATCTTAAAAATCAAGTAACTAAATCAAATATTATCATGAAGAAAAAGAAAAATTAAAAAATGATTTTTTATTTTATTATTTACTATTTATTTGAATATTCGTATAACGAATATTTATAAATACTTAATATTTGTTAATATCTATTTTGAATAAACTCTGATATTCATATCAATAAATTATTATTAGAATAATACTAATATTAAAAAATTTGATGCACAAGAAGACCTAGCCTAATCTAATAAATAAAACATGTACAAAGAAAATGTTACTACCCACGAATATAATAAATATCCATGGTCACTATGCTCGTGTAAAATTCTACGTATACAACCAATCACTCGTGTCGATTCGGATCTTTCATCCTACGACATGGTTGAGTAATCGGAGGAATCAAAAAGCATGCGACTCACCATATGATGCGACGAACGCTTTCATTGTTGTCGTAGTCCAGAAATTATTAAGAAGATTATCATCATGTAACAGGAAATCATAAAACTATAACAAAAAAAATAGAAAAATATATACATAATACAATACAAAATACAATACAAATTGTTTGAAAAAAATTGAAATATAAAAAAATAAAAAAATATCAGAATATATAACAGTAAGAAAGAAATGTTAATGATAATAAAAATTGAAATTTTAATATAATATAATTGAAATTTTAAAATTAAAAATCTAATACTTTTGTTTCGATAGAAAAATAACATTTTAAATAATCTAAAAATAGGTAATTTAAAAAATTACCTTTTCAAATGATTGCTTTCTCTTTTTAAGAGAAACACTGACTCGAATATATACCCGAAACATATATTTTATAAATAAATGCAATATAATTTAAATTATAATTAACGAACAAACACTGACTCTAATTTCACGTATTCATTGACGATAGATTAAAAAAACTTACGAAGCAAACACTGATTCTACTGACCACATTGCACGCGGCCGCAAAAATTCTCTGAAAGTTCAAAATTAATTTAAAATTAGTAAAGAAATAAGAATAAAAATAAAAAGAATGAAAATGATAGGTAAAAAAAAGAAAATAATTTGTTATACATACAAAATATCAGATTTTACCACGTCGTCGTTGAAGAAAAAAAGCTTGATGGCGTCCATATTGGAATTTTTCCCGCCTTCGAAGTTCTTCCCGCCAATTCAGAAAGCAATAATCTACACGAAATAAAATCAAAATTATTATATAAGTGTATTACATAAAATTATAAAATTATTACATAAAACTAAGTAAATATATTAAAATATAATAATAATCAAGCACAAATTTCATTTTAAAAAGTTAAAATGTGAAATATCTATAACTCTAACCTGTCATTTTAAAATATTGATAAATGAAAGAAAAAGAATAATTTAGTCACTAAAAGATTTTTAATTTCGATAAAGAATACGTATTAATACACTAATATATAACATTCACTAATATATAAGTAAAAAAAGAACAATTATGAAAGTAAAACTACGCAACAAATAAATTGCACACTTCACGGAAACATGGCGCGCTAAATACTGCAATTATCGATATTACACTGACACCTCGCACCGCAATTTCGATTATCGAAATACAAGTAGACGCGTTCGATAGTTCGGTAATAGATCGAAATGTCGAGCAATAAATCCTAATTTCTTGAAAAAGTTATTTAATATTATTATATTTAATAAAATATGTTTATAGTTTACAGTATAATATGGATAAGAAAAAAAAATATAAACAATATAGTTAGATATACTTGAAAAATGAATATGTATATATTATTAAAATAACTTGACGAAATAAAATTTATTACGATACTGTATATTCTAATAAACTACTGTATATTCATTTCATACAAAGAAAAAAACAAATCAAAACCTATCTTAAATATATCTTTAAAAAAGAAATATGTTATTAAATATATCTTTTTAAAAAATAAATATGTTATTACCTAATATGTAGAAGAATTATCAGTAATAAATTGTTGTATATACGTTGGAAAAGTCTTTTGACGTCCAGCACAATTGAATCTACACAAATAAAAATCAAAACCATAAAACAATAATATAAAAATAATTAGAATTATAGATATATACAACAAATAATTAGAATTATAATGAAATAATGAATTGAAATCCTGATTGGAAAATTTATAATACGAGTAATACCGGTAACCTCATAATCAAATAGTCAATCGAAAGAAAAATCGACAAAAAACTGGAAAGATTAATTAATTTTATTATCACAATGTTTAATGTGATCTACAAATTCCACAATAAAATCTACAATAAGTAGAAATATAATTAAATACTTACTGCGTAATTGAAACCACTCGTACCGGCAACACGTCCTTCCACGATGATTTTCGACACAAGAATGACGCCATGCGTCATATATTTGCTAGAAGCTTTCTGATTGGTTGAAATGAATATAGTTCCTTATTTACTTTATATAGTTCCTTATATAGCGCGCGAAAATTGAAGCATTATATAATATTCATTAATTATAGTTTTCTATTTGAAATCTTTCATTTATGATAAATATAATAAGAATTAATTATGAAAATTAATTTGACGTAAAAATTAATCAAATTAGAGACGAATAAAACCCAAAAAAATTTTAAAATATAAGAATTTAAGATAAAAATTATATAATAAAAAATTAAATATGTAAAGAATGTGATATAAAAAAAATATAAAAAAAACTAAATTAAAGAAAACTGAAACATAAGAAAATAAATTAAAACGTAGTTCTTAGGTTAGGTATCTTGACTTTTCAAAGAAAATTATTAATAAAATATTACGAAACTAAATCTTTTGAAATATTTTTCATGTATTGTTTCTAATAAGAAAATTTTAAAAAAGAAAATTTTGGAATTTAATGTCAATTATCGAGTCTCACCAACAAAGAGATGACTACACATCGAGATTCACTTAAAGTAAAAAAAATAAAAATAAAACATTAAAATTAATAATTAATTTAAACAAATTAGAAAAATGTAAAATATAAAAAATGAGATATATTAAATAAATTAAAAAATGATATAAAAAAGAAAGCACATAAGAAAGAAAATTATATAAATTAGTAAAAATTAAACAAATCTGTAAAAACTAAAACATAAAAAAGAAATTGAATATGTTAAAATATAAAATGTTGAAATATAAATAGAATTTTAGTATAAAAATTAATTATAATAAAATATAATAGATTTTTATAAACAAATTTGAACAATTAAATCTAAAAACTAAATCACATGTTGTCCATCGATAAAGTCTTTAACTAATTTAATCTGGATCTTAAAATTAACTTAATCTAAATCTTAATACTACATTTAAAATCTAAAATGAATAATAACATCCATTTCAAAGATATCAATCCTGCCTAAAGCAAAACAAGAATAATAATATAATATCTTTTATTAAAAACTATATTTCTTTTATTAAAAAAGTGTTCTATAAAAAGAATGAAATCTAGAAGAAAATAAAAAAAACAAACAAAAGAAATGAAAAGAAATGGAAAGATTTAGAAGAAATAAAACAACCAAGTTCTATTATCACCCTCATATCACGATTTATATCAATTGACATACATGAATCGAATAACATTTACCAGTCAAGAGTTAGACAGCAGTTTAATAGCTGAATGACTTATGTTCTGATGACATAGAAAAGAGCAAGGGATAAATCTCTGATTACGAGACTACAAGATCTAACTCATCGAGTTACATCACATGATATGTGATTGATAGTGACTTGAAGTAAACGATGAAAAAACAATAAATCATAAAATAAACAAAAGAATAAATTCAGAAAGAAAGTAAAAAACAATTTGAATAAGTATGAAAATTCGAAATGAAGGTAAAAAATAACGAAAATGAAAGAGAGAATGTGAGTAAAAAATAGGAATAAAATAATTTTTTTATCATTTTTTTTTTCATTTTGAGTTAGGGAATGTATCATGATACGGAATGCGTTTACAATAAATTTAATTAATATTCGTTTAACATCTGTGTCAAGGATATTATTTATAAATATATTTTCATATTATTTATAAAAGGAAAGAAAAGAGATAAAGTTAGTTAAAATTTTATCAAAAATTGAGAAATAAAATAAAAACGAGAATATCCTTGTACGAGATTTTATTAATATCTGCAATCTAATCTATCAATAATTAATCAAAATAATTAAGAAGAATCATGTTTTAGATTGAATTGCAGATATGCGTAGTTCTTCGCTTGCCATCGCTTTTCAAAAATTATTGATGAAATATATCTTAATATTTATAAATTTAAAATATTAATATAAAATTTTGAAATAATGAAATATTCATAAAATTATATTTTTTAAATGGAAAAAAAATTTAAAAAGCAATGGCAATTACCAGGTCTCACCAACGAGGAGGTGACTACGCATTGAGACCCTCATATTAAAAAAAATATAATAAAATAAATTAAAATTCATTTATACATTTATATATATTTATAACATATTATAAAAAAATAAAAATAAATTAATAGATAAATGAACTTATCTGAAAGAATTTATCAATAAATTAATAAAGAAATAAGATATTGAATAAATAATAGTTAGAGGAATAAATAAGTCAAAAAATAAATGTTTAAATAAACGAATATATAAATAAATAAATGAACAAAGCAATAAATAAATATTAATCAAAAAGTAAATATTACGAATAAATATTATACATAAAGTATTATCAATAATTAAATTAAAAAATTAAAACAAATTAAAAATTAAAAGTAAATAATTTAAAGCAAATAAAAATTTTAATTTAACATTAAAATTAAAATTAAGAATTAAATTTAATTAGAAATAAAAGATAAAGATAAATTAAAAAAGTAAAAGTAAATTAAAATTATAATAAATAAATGAAAGTATAAATTAACAAATAAATGTTTAAATTAATAATAAATGAATAAATCAATAAATGAACAAATAAAGAATTGTATAATAAGAATTGTAAACAATTAAAAAAATAAGTAAATAAAAAAAAATAAATGTTTAAAAGTAAATATAGTAATAAATAAATATAAATTAAAAAGTAAAACAAATAAATAATATTAAATGATAATTTAGAATGTTGACAATATTAAATGTTTAAAATAAATGTTACAAAAATAAATTATTAAAAATTATTCTCTATGTTATAAATATTCAATGAAAGTGTATATAATATCGATCTTTCTTTCCTCCAAGTTCATTAAGAAATGATCGCTCGTTCGTGACTTGTCTCTTATTTATAGAACGTCGCGCCCGGCGAACATAAACGATCTTTATCGAATATTTCAAAATCAATTTTTCGAATATAATGATTAATAATTTATTAATTTTTAGATTTTTATTATTAATTCATGAGCCCATTGATTTATTTTAATATTATAAATAATAATTAATATATATTTTTACGAAATATATATTATTTCGTTAAATTTACTGTCTTACTTATTAATTTTGACTTAATAAGAGTATTGAAATATTTTGATTGAAATTTTATACGGAGAACAATTTCAAAATAGTCATAGATGAATTCAGAGTGATCAATAATTTATTAATTTTTAAATTTCTATTGTTAATTTATAAATTTAAAATTTGATTATGACAAAATACGTAATTATATGTATTTTTACGAAATTAAGTTAGATTATTTTATTTTTTAATTTTCGATTTTTAGCTGTATTGAAATATTTTAATTGTAATTTTAAATGAAAAATAATTATATAAAATCATAAAATATATCAATTTTCAATGGTCAATAATTTTGTAATTTTTATATTTTTATTCTTAATTTATCCATCCAATTACAATTAATTACAATAATAAAATTATATAAAAATCATACACATAGTGATTTATGTAATCATTCCTGTATCATGAAAAATGATTTTCATATCATATTTTTTTATATATCTTGGAATTCGATTAAAAAAAATAAGAAATAGAAATAAAATAAAAATCCTTATTTATAATAATTATAATAATTTGTAATAATTTTATAAAATATTATAAAATAATTTTCTAATTTTTTTTATATAATAATTTTATAATTATGATAATAATTCTAACATATTAATTTAAAATTAATATTATACAAATAAAAATTCTAAA